TGAGCCAAAAAATTAAAGTTTCAGTTGCTTTTTTTTCTGAAATTAGATACGCTACAGGAACACCTTGCCTACTAATATCATCTCATACGATTATGGTAAAAAGATTTGTTTTATGTACTGTTGTGCTATGTGTTCCATCCAAACATACAGTTTGAGCACTTTTATTATTTAAAATTTTCTTTTGAAATTCTGTTTGGAACCCGTATAAATAATCTAAATCTGAGCTCTAAGTTAAATTACTACAGGTATATGATCTGTCTTCTTGAGACAATGCAATCTATTCATTAATAGATATATTTTCACTATAACCTTGATTCTTATTACCTAAGAAAATTACACCTTTCATCTCTTCATAAACTATATTATATATATCAATATAAGACAAATATGCATCTCGTCTTTGAATTAAAGGCAAAGAGCTTAAGTTATCATTATCACATAATCTGTTAATACATTGGTGGAACATTGATACAATTTGTGCAGGTTTTAATCTGTCATTAGCTCTTTCTTTGATCCATTCTCTTGCTTGTTGAGATAAGCGAATATTTTTTAGATCTTCATCAGTTTCAGGAGAATGCCCATTATGAAGAACATAATACTCAATACGAACAGAGTTACTCTCTGTATTATGATATTTTAACACTTTTAAGTAGGATTTACATCCTACCTTTTTAAATGACTTTTGAATTGAATGAGAATTATTATGGCCTGACGAAGATGCTATAGTTTGATCAAGTTTAGGTTTAGCTCTTGGTTTTTCAGCACAATGACATAGATAAGTATCATTTAGCTCATAATCTCGATTATTTCGTCTAAGTTGCCAAACATAATAGGCTCCTGAAATATTAGGAAAATTATTTTTGATCCATTCCTCATAATTACTCAAATCAAGATGAGTATATATTTTAATGCAGTTATTTTGGTCACTTTCATTTTCACAATTAATTACATTTTCATACTCGATTTCATTTTCAGGATCAATTTCATTTTCGTAATTGATTTCATCAATTATATCTATGTGGTCAAATTTACCAGACATAGTAATAGTTTTTTTTTTAAATAAAATTAATTTTAATAGATGCGAAATTACAGAAAAACTTAGGCTAATGATAATTAATTTTAGTATATAAGGAATTACAAAGATAAGCGAATGATAATATGAAAGGATGATATACCACTATCAAATTGCCTCTTTTATAAGGTTTGGATATTATGAGTAAAGAACTATTTATACTAATATTTGAAGGTATTAGCATGCAACGGAAGTATTTTCAAGTTACTTTTTTTAATTTTTATTCTTGTTATTCTCACGAATTTGGCATGCATTTACGATATTTATAGGCTTAGAATTAATCAATATCTGCATTTTGTCAAGATTCATATTTAATATACGAGAACGCATAATGAATATAAATTTGTAATAGAAATATTATCTGTAAAATAAAAAAAAATACTAGTTTCGTGAAAAAAAAAATATAAAGAATTAAATAAATTATAAAAATAGTTATTATTTTAGATATATTAAATAACAATAAGCAAAATTTATTAATTTTAAATACATGATACCAATTTTAAAAATGCTCTTCGTTATATTAATTTAATAATAAATTATTTAATAAATTATGTATTGTTAACTGCATATTGCATACGTATTGCATACTATACTGCATTACTTTTGAATTTTCAATTGCATTATGATATTCGATTTAGAAGCACTAAATGCATAAATTTTAATTTTTTGGCAAAGTTCTAAATAGCATCACAAATTATAAATAATGCTACAAATCAGAAATAAGTTTAATATCATTCAAAACGATATGAAATATATAACATCACAAATAAATAGGATTATTAGATTTTTACTTTTATTTGTAAATCGTTATATATAATTAAAGAAACTAATACAGTTAGACTTCTTTAAATGCACCCTCTATAAATACACATCCTCTCTAAATACATGCTCAAGTGCTTACCTAAATATATACTTGACCTCTATAAATGCATTTTTTCTTATATTCTCTATATGCACGTTATTAAAGTGTGGTCCCAAGGGCATGTGCTTAGAGAAGTCTGACTGTACATTTTCTTAAGGTATGTAATCAGATTCAAAATTTTATTTGATACTCTAATATCGTTGTACCGCTTTTGTAACTTTAAAAATAGGCAAAATGTAATTTAGAACTACAACTTGCCAAGTATAATTATTGCGAAGAGACTGTGTTAATTTAGTTGATCAGTTAAAAGGTCATTTATTAAAGTGTAAAAAACTTCCAAGAATTCACAAAATAAAAGTTTTATCGAAGTTGATCAAAGATATCTTTTATCAAAGCTTGATCGTGTGATTTTTTTTTAAGATGTTCTAAAATTTTCTTAAGTTTAGCTAAATATATCTCCGTATCTACTTGATCAAATTCGACAAAATTTTTTTTATTTTAATTTTACAAATGTGTAAAATTAAAATAAAAAAAAATTTAACGAATTTGATCGTGTAAACGTTAAGATACAAGCAGTTAAGTTTTTAAAAAAACTGTAAAAGCGTTAGGGCGATCTACATAACGAAATTATGCGTGATTAATTTTAATTGGCCGAGTAGGGTAGATCATCGGATATTCATCTAACATCTTGATGGGTAAATAGATGTACGCACCTCCGACCCTCACGTGTCTTCCGGAGCTACTTTTCACGTTTCACAATATAAAATTGTTATATTTTAAACAATACGTACACTCGATAAAATAATTTGAATTTTTTTAACATTTTAGAATTTTATTATGAAATATGTTTATCTGCTTATGTGGATTCTAAATTCTAAATCTAATTCTATTCTGACGTACAATATATATACCTTATCTCTTACTCTAACGCCTATATAATTTAATCGCATACTAATTTAGTATCAGATTTCAAATCAAAAATTAAATAAAAATAGCAGGAGTATGGGATGTCTTCAAAAGCTGCTAATACTAACTTTATGTTTTCACTGATGTACTAATTAGATAAAAAAAAAAAAAAAAAAAAAAGTGTATGTTCTTTAACAAATACCAAGATCAAAGTGATTAGTATAACTTAAAATATTGCTATTTCTATAATGTTATTGTAGGAGAGCAATATTATACATTTTAAATCTTTTGTTCACATAATAATTTCACAAAAATTAACGCACCACTGAAATGTGTAATAAGTTGATTGACAAAATTATTGTTCCACATATAGAATTAAAGTTAGATAGTTGTCAAGAAACAGTCCAAATTTAAGAAAATTTATCCTACGTATCAATAATAATTCTAAACATATTTATGATAATTTACAAAAAAATGTAAATAAAAAATATTTTCATCAAATTTAATCAAGTGGTTGTCGAAAAATTTAGTTCAAAATTTTACTCAATTTGTTAATTTTTTTTTGGAATCTTGAAGTTTTCTCAATAATCATCTGACCAAATTTTTTTATTTTAAAGAAATATATAATTAATAAGAGAATTTTCGTTGAATTTGGGTTAGGTGGTTGTCGAGAAAATTATTTCAAAAGTTTAAAAAAATTTAAGTGTAACTTCTTTGTTTACAGGTGAGATAAATTTTCTCAAGTTTTGAATCGATAACCACCTAACTAAATCCGATGAATGGTTATCGAAGTTGTTAATATATGAGATGAAATTTCCCAGACTTTTAATCGGCATTTTCTTGATAACTACTAAATAAATTCGATATAATTTTTTTTTATTTTACTTCTACATTTCTTTATAATTAAATAAAAAAATTTTTTCATCAAATTTAGTTGTGATTGTTGAGAATACCTCATACCTCGTCTAATTGAAAAAAATAGGGGCTGTACTTGCTCAAATGGACGATAAAAAAAGAGAATATGTAATATTATACGCAAGTCGTAGCGTTAATTATACTGAACAACAATATTAGATAAATTTTCTCAAGTATTAAGCGGATTTTCTTGATAATTACCTAAATTCGATGAAATTTTTTTATGGTACTACTATATTTATAATATTAAAAAAAATTTTTCATTGAATTTGTTTAGATGAATGTCAAGAAATTTCGCTCAGACGCAGCTATTTTAAACTACATATCTGTAGAATTAAAATAAAAAATAAATTTTATTAAATCTAATTAAGTGGGTATCATGTTATCTTCGCTAAAGTTTTACAAGATTACAAAAATCTTTAAATCGAGGATCTGCCGTACATTTTTTATGCGGTTTCCTAAGGTAAATTTTGTGTTGAGGTGGTGACATTGACCCAAGACCCATAAAAAGGAGATCATGTCCTTTCGGTTTTTTGATACGTACAACCCATGATGTTTTAAATTCGTACTATTAACATGATTAAGGTACGTGCGTACGTACTTCCGCATAAATTTTAGTCATATTTAAAGTGCTTCCGCATAAATTAAAGTGATTTAAAAAACCTTTATTCAATTTAGATTTAGAACAAACTATACTCTTACGAAAAAAACATATATTGTGTGCAAATTTGTAACCAATGATTTTCAATTTTGATAATAAATATACTAAAATTGTACAATCCAATCTATTGTTTACGTATTCGATTGCATTGTTTTTGGAAATTTAGATAAATTACGTATCAAAAATATAGAACAATAGTTATTAAATAAATGCTAGGTATTATCATTTTGTTAATTATGTAATACAAGATGTATAAACGTACGTACTTGAGTCTTAAGAATAATACTGACAGGGAAGCAGACAATTGATACTAAATAAATATCTACTGTCTAAAAATATAACACTATTAGGATTCGTTTAAAGTTAATAAAAAAAAAACAAAAAAAAAAAGACAATTTTTTTATACAATATGATAGATACACTTACAAAATTCTATAAAAGGTTGAGGTAAATAGATTTTTTAGACCATACTGTATCTACTTCCAACCGTTAAACATTCATTTATATTTGACTATTCTTTTTTTATAATCTTTCACGACACGATATCGAGAGCCTCAAAGTAAAAATTCTCTAACCTCCGAAAAATGTCAATTGCTTCTTACCTTTCTTCCCTTCAAGCCTCCGAGTGGCTCTCGGTAGTCACGTTACTCATATGTGTCTATGTTGCCCACTTCTATTTTCGATATTTCACAAGGGAGAACCCTCTTCCAGGGCCTACGCCCTTACCAATAATCGGAAATTTAGTGAGTATAAATAAACTCTTTTTATAAATTTACTGTATAAAATTCCTAAATTTAATAAATTTTCTTTTTAATTATCTTATTTTAGCATCAAATGGGTATGGGTACTGACATTGCAGCTTGGGCTCACCGTCTCCAATGTGACTTTGGTGAAGATATTTTCGAAACCTATTACGGCAGTCAACGAACAATTTGGATCGGCCGCGCCGATCTTGCAGTACCAGTTTTAGCAAGCTCTACAAAAAATAATTATTTTAATCGTGGAGTTTCAAGTCCTGGAATGAGAGAAATTGGTCTTGAAACTGTTGGAATTGCTGCAAATAGAGATTATGAATCTTGGAAGTTTAACAGAAAATTCTTTAGTACAGTTGTTATGTCACCAAGATTTTTAAAAAAATCTATCTCAGCTACTGAAAAATTATTTATTGAAGCTGAATTATATCTTAATAATCTTGGTAGTAAAACTCAAATTGATATGTCAAAGTTTTTGTTTAGATTTTTTGTGGATAGTATGCATCTTTCAGCTACTGGAAAACCCGCTCATGCTATGGCAGGATTTTATAACTCTTTAGTAGTTCCCAAGGACAAACGAACAGATCATCCTAAAGAGCTTCTTGATGCTACTGAAGAAATCATATTTTCTATTAAAAATGAATTTAAAGCTGCTAGATTTATGTTCTTCTTTCCACCTTTTATTCGTCATTATATTTTGAGATATTATAACAATAAGTATGTTAATAATGTTAAAAGATTTGATGAGATATTATTGTCGATCATTAGAAAACGAAAAGCTGAGATTGATGCAATACCTGATGGAGATTCTTTAAATCCAGACATGTTGACTTTGTTATTGACCACTAATACATCTCGTGACCTTGGGATCATTTCTACAGGAGAGATTACACGACCAATGACTGAAGATGAGATACGTGCTGATCTCAAAGAAATCTTTAGCGTTGGTATTGACACGGTACATCTATAATATTCATATTATGTTCATATTATAGTAAATTTCTCATTATAGTAAAGGATAGTTTATATAAAACTCTCTTTATATAATGAATTTACTAATAGACTCTCGATATAGTAAAGAAAATATCTCAGCCCGATTACTTTACTATAACGAGAGTGACTTGTATTTATTATCAATGCTAATCAATATATATATATATATTTTTTTCTTATAGACATCTGATTCATTCTGCTATATAATATGGCATATGTGTAAAAATCCACTTGAGAAAGACAAGGTTCTTAAAGAATTAAATGAAGTTCTTGGCACTGATCCAACGAAATCAATCCCATACGAATCTCTTGATCGATTAAAATACACAGAAGCATTTGTTAAAGAAGTATTACGTTTAAATCCAGTTTTACCATTCCTCTGGAAGATGGCAACAAATGATGATACACTTGGAGGAATGAAGTGGAAAGCAGGAACTTCGGTGTTTATTAACGTTTATGGAACACAAACACATGCAAAGAATTGGGACAAGCCGGAAGAATTTATTCCCGCTAGACATTTAGAAGGAACGAAAACTGATAGGAATGCATATATTCCGTTTGGTGGTGGACCTAGACTTTGTAAGTGTTAAGAATTGAAATACTAATATATAATAATACAAATATGAAATATAAAATACAATATTAAAATTATTTATTTTAAAAGGTCCTGGAAAAAATTTTGCCATGGCAACACTCAAGCTTTTGACGGCTTTACTTATCCGACGATTCGATATTGAATTAGTCGATAAGAATGCACCACTTAAAACTTCATTCACCATGGTTAGACATTGTGACGAGTTGAAAGTTTATCTTCGACCTAAGATACCCATTACTGGGTGATTATCTTTAAAGAAGTTGCCTTATACAGTGCTTTTTAAGCAGGTTTTAATATTTATTTTTTATTATTACAATTCCAGTTTTTGGAATCTTGTCAACATTTTATTATATAAGTGTTAAATAAGGTACGATAAAAATTAAACCTGTAAATTAATATTACCATCTCAAATAAGAGATGAGATTTTTTGTAGTTATAATTTAGTCATATATTTAGTTATATTTGTAATTTTTCTCTTTATTGGAGGTTTTTTTTTCCTCAAAGTATTGTATTTACAGTACATATAAATAAAATATAAGAAATTTATTATTATTATTTTTCAGTAGTGATAGTGAACCTTAATCTTTTAAACTACCTCGGTTATTAAGTTGACTATATTTAATTATCCGACATATTCTAATAAACTAAAATGTGCTAAAAAAATAATTTTTGTCTCGTAAGAGATCTCGCGCAAGTTCGCGTGAGAGGTGCATATCTAGAAATGACAGAAAAATCTTTTGAATCTAGTCTTTTCTTTTTGAAATATAATTTATAATAATAGCGAGCCTTATTTATCAGCTTGGCAGATTAGTTTACTTGCACTTTTTTTTTTGAATTTTTCAGAAATTACTAAATTTAGCCTCTTTTTCAATCAATTTTTCAGATTTAATTATTTCTGTGTTTATGGAACTTTGAGCCGTGGTATACAGTATGTCGATTACAATTTGGGATCTTTGCCTTGAAAATAGGGTTCCAGAGTCCCCAAACCAAAAATGAGATTTTTGTCAAATATTAATCTACAAAGCATAAAGCTCATTTTGTATAAATTTTATAGCTTGTTTATTTCTAGTGCCGTAAGGTCATTTTCAAGGCAAAAACCTCATTTCTTTTCTTTGTTATTAAATAAAATAAAAGCTAAAAGCAACTTTTTCTTCCAACATTTTTGATGAAAGCTCTAATATTTCAAAAAAATGCGTGCTTAGTTCGTGATGTTTTAATGTTCGTTCCCACCTAACTCGACTCCAGAAATTGAGTCAATACAGATTCAGCCTTGTGTATTTTCATAAAATAATTGAAAACATTTAAAGAGTTTAACGTATTAATTTTAATGCAATATAAGATTATATACATAAAATACTTTTCAAATATCATGTTATGATTTAAGAAGACTTGAAATTGGCTTAAAAAAGCTTGGCTACCTCTAGTGCCCAACTTTGAACTTTCAATTTACTTTCGATCATCAATCATCCTGTGTGATGTTCAACTAAAATCGAAAATACCTCTACATATTTAAAAATATGATAAGACAGTCTTGGGTTAACTACACCACTCTCTCACACCCTAAAAATGTGGATAAATGTGGATATTTGTTAGAATTAATTAATACCTTTAAAACTAAAGATCAAATGAAATAAGGATACTTATTATCAAATTAACTTCTTACACTAAATTAGATTGGTTTATAGTTTCTAGCTTTCAGTTGGTGAATTCGGAATATCAATATATTCGAAATCAACTTAGGTTGATTCCGAATAAACTAAAATTTTAAAATAACTTAGATGAAAAGAATTGAACATTTCAGAGATATTATACAGTATAAACGGCACAATAATAAGATCATAAACGGTTTGTGAAATAAAGGTTTTACGACATTTTTAAGAGATTTTTCTTCAATATTGACTAAATTGAGTAAAAAAAATTTCGCGAAAGCAATAATGAATAAAATATGATTTCTTTATTACAGTCATTGAAAATTATTCATATAGTTCTGATATCCCGATCCATCTACAACATATGGGAGGAGTCGGTAGAGATAAATCAGGTAAATAATAGTTTTGAGATAATCACATTTTTTTGGGTTGTATTATCGTCGATAAGTTAATAGAAAAGAGACGAATTTATCTAATAGGTTTGTTTCATTTCTACTGACTTAAGCACATCTTATGTTTATTCTTTATCTAACAACTACAAATCATTATGCATTATTTACTTACAGTATACTTACAGTACGAAACAATTTATAAGATTGGTTTTATGTACAGTACGTGTATCTAAATTATTTATTTGTCGAAGTTTAAATTATAGAGAATTTAACTAATAACTATAGATAAGCTGAGCTATTGAATTACGGTATAATTTGATTTCAGAAATTCTGAAGAGTATTTAATTTTATTTATTTAGGCATAAATAAGTCAGATTAGTTTATTTGTATATAATCTCAAGTTTATTATTATAAAGAGATTTAAAATTGTTTATTTGAGATTTGTGTTAGTAGACCAAGTCAATATTTTTTAGTTTCAAACTTCAGAAGAGATATATTATAGGAAAATATTTGTAATGTCAAATGCTATTTAAATTTAAATCTTTAATTAACTTCATGATGAAACAGCTATAAATTTGCACTTGCGATAAATTTTTTTAAAATTTTTTATAAATAGATAATTATTACTAATTACCTGTGTGTTAATTTTTAAATATACAAAATATTGTGAAGGACGAACTGAAGACGTACCAACGTGACCAAAAAAACCAAGTTTAGGCATATACCGTATAAATACTACCTTCTATTAAAAATTTTTGTAATAGAATGTAAAATATCCAGGGGATATATCCTATTTAAAAAAATTTATAATACCCTGGGTATTATTTAAATTAATGTCCACGCTATACGTACGGTAATTTTTAATTACTAATAAAGTAATTTTATACATATTTAAAATAAAAACATACAATAATTATGAATTAAGTGTTTGTATTCAAATCTCCGCAAGGTTTATTGTTTTTGATTTTAAACAAAATAATTATGATATCAAATTGTTGTAAAGTTTTAATCAGGAAAAATGGATAACTGATCGCATCTCTAATTTGTTACATGCTAAAGATTTATATACTTATTAATAATCTTTTAGTCGAATAATTTAATCGAATAACCATGTTAAATAAAGATCGATTGATCTAACAAGAAATTCTATTCGATTAAAAAATACTAATCTAGTATCATTATCACCCTTGTTCTTAATATCATAAAAATGTTCAAAATTATTTTAGTAGATCTTCTGAATTTTGTAAATTTTACTTTTACTCTCGTTTGTATTATTATTCAACAAAGGCAAACTGATGTATATTTCTGGAAAAACGTTTAGTCCAACAAGAAAAAAAAGAGGTTAAGATTTAAAAGTAATGTTCTTTTGCATATATATGTCAAAATTGAAGATATGCTCATGAATTTTGTTGATTTCACTCAGTTAAACCTCCAAAACACTATCGAAATCAAAATAATAACCATGACGCACAATTTCACCAAAAATGTTCTTCCGTTCCATACTGGAAACCATTCGATTTTCTGACCATTGATATTTCCCTGGTTCAATCATGGTCTACTTCACAACTTATCACACATCTATGTACAATGTTCTCACAAGGTTATTTCAAACGCGATTTATGGACGAATTCGCTTTCGCAAAAATTCGAATCTCAACAAATCGATGGTAAGAAGTTTTTGAAGATGAATAGAGATGATTTAATAAAAGCCATTGATTGTGCCGATGGAATAAAGAGATTAGTTATTGGGTTATTGGAAGCAGAGGTGATCAGGTTGAATGGTTAGTGAGAATACGTTTATAACGAAGGTTTATAAGTTGTAAATATGGTAGTGATAATTGGTTTTTAATTTTTATTGTAATTGCATTTAGGACGATATGAAGACGAGATTTATCATGATCCAGTTGGTAATTGTCATTGATAAATGTTCAAGTTTATTTTTCAGTTTAGGCTGATTCTTATTAATTGTATTTTGTATAGGGACCTTTGGGCTTTATAAACGTAAAACACAAGTAAAACTATATTTTAATTGATGAAAATTTTAATAAATTACATATTATGATGATAAATAACTAATAATGGATTAATTGTTATTTTTGAGATTTATAAATTACAAACAAAGGCCATCAATGACGACAAGTTGTTTCGCGAATTTTTAGTTCGAAAACTAGATATAATACCACCGGCTCACAATCTTCGTCGATATCTTTCCAGTCCTTTAACATTACGAATACCAATACCATCAATTTATCTTCAACTTTACCAAAAAACAAATCCGGAAATTCTTTGCTATTTGATCCCACAAAAACAATGCTTGGATCAGCTTAATAATTTAATGACGGCACCTACTCTATCCTTGCCTTTTATTAATGCCATAAGTCTACCATCCCATGATGTGGTGTTATCAAATTATACAATTATTATTGATTCGCTCATTCAAGTTACACTTTCTGTCCTCCATTTCGGAACGCGTAAATGGCTCTATATGGATCGGTCATCATCAATTAATTCTCCTGAAGATATACTTCGTCCGGATTGGATGTGTTGGATAAATGAACTTTTATTAGTCTTTCAAGGAATCCAGATCACCGAAGAAACTGATTGGCAAATAGGAATATCCTATTTACATTCAAAAATACATTGGAAATCAATGTATTATGGAAATTTACCATATACATTTGCTTATATTTCAAAAAGTTCAAAGTTACGATTTTTTATTTTTAACCCAAATCTTGAAATGACAACTCCATTAACTCAAATCTCTCAAGAATTTAACTTAAATTCTATAATGGATAGATTTGGTATTATTAAAACTGTCATAAATATTTATTCAATTCTTGAAACAATTCATAAAAATTGGAATATTTATGATTCTATAACATATAATACACCTTCAATATCATCAATTCATCCATTATATTTATCATTACAACGAAATGGTGAAACAATTATTGAATTCTTTGGAGAGTTTGTGAAAAAAACTATCTCTTCAAATTTAATGAATCAATTTTTTAGGTTTGAAACTTTATGCGCGATTTATAATGATACTAAACATATAAATAATTTAGTACATTGTGTGGACATTAATGGAAATTTTGATTTGCCTGTGAAAGAAAAAGATGGTGCTTGTAAGTTATTAATTCAACCAGTTGGGTACTATTATTATCCCACAAATGAGAAAGAATGGAAGAGTTGTTTGAAAACTGTGTTAGAAGTGCTTAATGAAATGCATAAAGTCGGATGGGCTCATCGAGATATTCATTGGGGAAATATAATGAGACATAATAATAATAATAATATCAAAAAACGAGATAAAGATAATAGTGAAATGAAAAGACAAGGTATTTACAATGATGCTGTAATTAAGCGTGAAAATGTTGTAACTGCAACAAATCTAAATGATAATGATGGTGATGAATGGCTTTTAATCGATCTAGAAATGGGAGGGAGAGTTGGAGAAGTATTAGACATCACATTATGGGATCGTTGGCCTAAGCAAGCAGAAAAAGGGCAAATTTACAAAGCTTGTTACGATGTATGGCAAATTGAAAGGATGTTACATGAGATGGGTGATAACGAATTTAAAAAGTTTTCCAAAAATTTTTGGAAATTTAGGGATTTGTTGCGAAAAGCTGCAATAGACGAAGTCTCTGCCGTAGAAGCACTGAAATGTGAATGGTTTATCATTGATAATGAATAATAAGTAAACAGTTTTTTATTTTATTTCTTATTTAAAAACAACAAAAAAAAAATCTTAAAAATATTTAAAAAAAGTATAGAGAATATCTTGTGTGATTTTTATATTTATATATGCTTATATCCATTTGCGATAATTCTATATAACTTGAACATCAAGATTTGTAATAAACAGCTACTTGTTATTTTTATAAAAAATCAATGAATTTAATCAATATTTGCGTCAAGACCAGAGTTTTTTGATTTTGAATCTTCGCATATCGATATATATACAAATAAAGTTTTTCTCACCAATTTTGTGATATTGCACTTGTTTTTACAACTTCTATCCGAGATTCGATTATTTCTCTCACATATATTTGATTTAGATCTTTTATTTTACTACCTCGTTATATGTATGTTTAGCATAATTCTTCCTAGTCATGGTGCTACAGAATATAATTAAGAGTTTATATAAAATTACTTGGTAATAAGTTACATACAAGAATTGAAGCTCAGATGACAATAAAGCGACTAGACTAAAGTGAAAACTAAAGTTAAAACTAAATTAAAGTTATTTATGATTTAAACTTACTAGAATGGTTAAAATTTATTTAGATTTGATTAGAGAGAATAGAATTTGTAGAGAAGCTATATTTAATTCAATGTATTAGTCAAGCTAAAAGTTTTTGTAAAGCAAGTTTAGTTGATAAATTTTGATTTTGTTGAGAAGAAAAGCTATATGAGTTATATAGTTTTTGAGAGTTATAAAATAGATATTGATTATTTTTTTTATTTAGTTGAGAGTTTGAGTATAGTATATAAATATTATGTTGTTGTTTCTAATTTGTTATTTAAAGCAATAAGGTAGCTATAATTAATTATAGATTTTTGAATTGAGTTTAAAAAATAATTTAATAGTTATTTATGAAGTTATATAAAGTAAGTTAGGATATAGTTTAATTATCTGAATAAGTATATATAGTATAAATCTTTTAAGTAAAGTTTGTAAGCTAATAGTATTAAAAAAATTTATAAGTAGTTGAAATAAAAAGTAGTAAGTAATTAAGTTTTGTAATATATAAAGTTGAGATTAAGTAATTTCTAAGTTTGCAGTACAAAAAGTTTTAATTACTAATTATAAGATTATTTCTTGTAGTATATTAGTATTGTAATTTATAATTTAATGAAGTTCTGAGTTTGTTCAGCTATATTTGAAGTATTTATTGCTTAGTAAAAGGTTTAAATAGTATTTGTATAGATATAATAGTGTAAGTAGTTTATTATATAGAAGTTTAATACAAAAAGTTTTGAGTTTACTAAGTTTAAAGTTAGTAAATTTATATAAATATTTGTTATTATTATTAAAATATAATTATATTGAGTTCTAGTAAATTTAGTTATATAGATAAGCTTATACTTA